CAGGAATACATTGTGTTAGGTGCAAAGGCAGGCTTAGAGTCACAAAGCACATTGATGGTGTTGTTAATTGTTACATACTGGATACTAACATTTATAGGTAAAGTTGATCCAGGGAATATCCTCTGCCTCTCCGGGGATCAGGAAGGAATTTTTTCACCCTCCAGGAGCAAATTGGATCATGCTTTGTTGGTTTTTTTTGCCTTCCTCTGGATCAACTCTGGGTATAGGATTATAACTTTTTTTTTTTATGGTTGAATTGGATGGGCTTTTGTCTTTTTTCATCCAGACTAACTATGTAACTATGTAGAATATTAAATAAATACTTACCGTTTGACAAAAAGATATTGAATCCTTGTCCTTGACTACGGGCAACTCTGCTGATCTCACTTCCACTTTTTAGGGGCCAAAATTTATTACTTTCATAAAATAGTATGTGAAAAAAAAGAAAGCCAACCCTTAAACAAACTAAAAAAAACAATTACAAGCTTTGCTTTGCACACTGGATGTTTTTGACGCTGTTCTCAGCGCTGGTTCACATATACAGTTGCAAGAAAAAGTATGTGAACCCTTTGGGATTACGTGGAGTTTTGCATGAATTGGGCATAAAATGTGCTCTGAACGTCATCTAAGTCACAACAATAGAAGAACACAGTCTGCTGAACATAATACTACACAAACATTAGATGCTGCCATGGTTTAATTGCACATAACATGTAAACATTCACAGTGCAGGGAGGAAAAAGTATGTGAGGCCCTAGCTTAATGACTTCTCCCAGAGCTAATTGGAGCCAGGAGTGAGCCAACCTTGACTCCAATCAGTGTGATGATACTGGATGTGTTGCTGACAGCTGTCCTGCCCTTAAAAAACACACACCTGTTTTGGGTTTACTGGTCTCAAGAAGCACTGTCTGATGTGAACCATGCCTCGCAGAAAAGAGCTCTCAGAAGACCTACGATCAAGAATTGTTGACTTGCATGAAGCTGGAAAGGGTTACAAAAATATCTCCAAAAGCCTTGATGTTCATGTGCCCACGGTAAGACAGACTGTCTACAAATGGAGAAAGTTTAGCACTGTTGCTACTCTCCCTAGGCGTGGTCGTCCTGTAAAAATGACTGCAAGAGCACAGCGCAGAATGCTGCATGAGATAAAGAAGAATCCCAGAGTGTCAGCTAAAGACCTACAGAAATCTCTGGCACATGCTAACATTTTTGTTGACACATCTACAATAAGGAGAACATTAAACAAGAATGGAGTACATGGGAGGAAACCACGGAGGAAGCCATTGCTGTCCAAAAAGAATATTGCAGCACGTTTGAAGTTTGCAAAAGAGCACTTGGCTGTTCCACAGCACTACTGGCAAAATATACTGTGGACAGATGAAACCAAGATTGAGTTGTTTGGGAAGAACACACAACACTATGCGTGGAGAAAAAAAGGCACAGCACACCAACATCAAAAACCTCATCCCCACTGTAAAACATGGCGGAGGGAGCATCATGGTTTGGGGCTGCTTTGCTGCCTCAGGGCCTGGACGGATTGTTGTCATTGATGGGAAAATGAATTCCAGAGTTTATCAAGACATTTTGCAGGAAAACGTACGACCATCTGTCCGCCAACTGAAGCTCCACAGAGGATGGGTGATGCAACAGGACAATGACCCAAAGCATACAATAATTCAACAAAACAATGGCTGCAACAGCACAGAATACGCCTTCTGGAGTGGCCCAGTCAGAGTCCTGACCTCAACCCGATTGAAATGCTGTGGCAGGACCTTAAGAGAGCGATTCACACCAGACATCCCAAGAATATTGCTACACTGAAACAGTTTTGTGAAGAGGAGTGGTCCAAAATTACTCCAGATCGTTGTGCAGGTCTGATCTGCAACTACAGGAAACGTTTGGTTGAGGTTATTGCTGCCAAAAGGAGGGTCAACCAGTTATTAAGTCCAAAGGTTCACATACTTTTTCCTCCCTACACTGTGAATGTTTACATGTTATGTGCAATTAAACCATGGCAACATCTAATGTTTGTGTAGTATTATGTTCAGCAGACTGTGTTCTTCTATTGTTGTGACTTAGATGACGTTCAGAGCACATTTTATGCCCAATTCATGCAAAACTCCACGTAATCCCAATGGGTTCACATACTTTTTCTTACCACTGTATGTGAATTGAATACGGTTTGAACCGCATCCATTCCACATGACATGTGAAATAACATTGCTTCCTAGGGTGCTTGTTCACATATGTCCTGTGTACTGGCAGTGCAGATTCAGTGCGGATTGAATAAGAGTCCTGTACAAATTCTGAGCAGTGTGGTCCGGTTCAAGTACTGATTACAGGCTATTGACTTCCACATTCTAAACCACATGTGTCATCAGTTGTGAACAGGAAAAAAAATTCTGACCTGAACTTGATCTAAACCTGACCTGAACCGCTGAACAACTACTGTATCAATTAGCTGTGAAATCTGAGCTTCAATCCGCACCACACATATGTGAATCAGCACTTAGGGTCGTCTGTTGTTTTTTTGCTGCATGTTATGTGTCCATGCACAAAGGAGATTAGAGGCAGAAAAAAAAAACACAGCAAGTGCGTCCAGGAGAAAAAACGCTGGATGGGTGTAGACGAGTGGTAACGGGTCTAAACAAATGTTACTCCTAGACGTGTTTAGTGCTTCAGTGTTAATAACCTGAATAAATTATATTATTCTGGCCAATGAAATGAATTAACGCCCAAGCACTTGATGCTCTTAACCGTGTTACACATGTTTGCAAGCATCTAGCATTTTTTCTGCCCAAACACCACTGCCAGGAGGAAGGGTGTCTAGGAGCGATAGCAAAAACGTCCAATGTGCATGAAGCCTAAGCATCATGTACAAATATCTGGCAGTTTCTAGGACTGGCCATACACCGTAGCCTGCCAGCAGGCTGAACAGAAAAATGAAGATTTCTCCAGCCAGACAAACGCAGCAAATGGAGGAATCCCTACTGCTGGGACATTGTATTCTGACAGAAGCACCCAGAACTGTCAGAATACACTGATCAGCGACTGCAGTCAAATAGCTACAGCAGCTCATTGATTAAAGTTTTCCAGGTCAAATGATTGACTTTTGTTGTTCAGGGATGGCCACACACTGATCAAAATTTGGTTGGTTCAGCAGAGAAAAGACACATTTCTATCAGTGTATGGCCAGCCTAACCACCTATGTACTGATAATGAAAGTCTCCAGCACTCACTATCACACAGTAGATGTTCCAAACGGTGACCAGGTTTACTGTTTCTTCTGTGTTATAGGACAGATCAAAGTAACATGAGTACATCAGTTAGGGCACAGGGCAGAGATTAGGGCAGGTCCAGCCATGCTCATTTGTGAACCATTTTCAGGTGGTATCTGTCCATGGCAAGCCCAACTTTGGGCAAAGCTGTCCCCAGCCTTAACCCCCTTCACTATCCATAAACCATTCCCCCCTCCCAGGGATCCACTCTCTGATTCCTTTCAGGATGCCCTTTCTAGAAGTGGAGACTTGAAATACAGTGATGCAGTCTGTACCCTCATTGTGACATCATGACTATGCTGCAGTCTTCTGGATCCTGAGAGAACCTTGTCACTGAACAGAGAGAAGATATGGATCGTTGTGTGTCAAATAATCATGGATGTAGGTAATTAAAAGGGGTTTGAGGATTATTTTTGCAGTGAATAGTTAGGGGTGGGCAGGAGGGATTGATTTGTGGGAAAATAGGGTGCCTGGCCACAATGGGCTTTTAAATGCTTGCCCAGGCCATTTTTTTTTCAGTTATGGTGGAGTGGAGAAGAGTTTACATTTCCGTTTTTTATTTCTGTCTGTGACCCCATGGGGGAGATTGTACCTCAAATGGGTGGGGGGCAATATTCCAAAAGGCCAGTTCTCTGCTGTAGAAAAACACTTAACTCGCCTCTCCTGAAGCCCATGTCTCCTACCTTCCCACTGTGCCAGTACTGCAGTCTTCATTGAAAAGCTGCTTATATATGAATAGGTGAGAACACATATCTGGTGTATCATATATTGTGTTTTGTTTTGTTTGTCAAATTAATTAATGGTAATAGTTTAGGCCAGGGGTGTCCAAACTTTTCTGGAAGAGTGCCAGATTTGATGAAGTGAACATGTGCGAGGGCCGACCATTTTGCCCGACATTCTGATGAACCATTAACATTAAATGCAAATGAACTATTTTATGCAAAAGTTTATTGAAAACGGCATACTTTTCATTTTGTGACTTGGATGACAAATCTAAACAGGTGTTAAATCACTCTGCCAGCACAGGGAGAAGGAAAGCCCAAATCTCGCGAGATCTCGGAGGTCGCGAGATTTGGGCTTTGTTTCTCCTTGCACTGTCTGATGACATCAAGCGATCCTGAGCACCAATCCATTATAGCCCAAATTGATACCGTATTTTTCGCTCCATAAGACGCACCTGACCATAAGACGCACCTAGGTTTTAGAGGCGAAAAACAGGAAAAAAAAATTCTGAACCAATGGACTGCAGACATAGTACAGGAGATGGCCAGAGACTGCGGACACAGTACATGAGATGACCAGAGACTGCGGACACAGTACAGGAGATGACCAGAGACTGCGGACACAGTACAGGAGATGACCAGAGACTGCGGACACAGTACAGGAGATGACCAGAGACTGCGGACACAGTACAGGAGATGACCAGAGACTGCGGACACAGTACAGGAGATGACCAGAGTCTGCGGACACAGTACAGGAGATGACCAGAGACTGCAGACACAGTACAGGAGATGACCAGAGACTGCGGACACAGTACAGGAGATGACCAGAGACTGCGGACACAGTACAGGGGATGACCAGAGTCTGCGGACACAGTACAGGAGATGACCAGAGACTGCGGACACAGTACAGGAGATGACCAGAGACAGAGATGACCAGAGACTGCGGACACAGTACAGGAGATGACCAGAGACTGCGGACACAGTACAGGAGATGACCAGAGACTGCGGACACAGTACAGGAGATGACCAGAGACTGCGGACACAGTACAGGAGATGACCAGAGACTGCGGACACAGTACAGGAGATGACCAGAGACTGCGGACACAGTACAGGAGATGACCAGAGACTGCGGACTGCGGACACAGTACAGGAGATGACCAGAGACTGCGGACATAGTACAGGGGATGACCAGAGTCTGCGGACACAGTACAGGATGACCAGAGTCTGCGGACAGTACAGGAGATGACCAGAGACTGCGGACACAGTACAGGAGATGACCAGAGACTGCAGACATAGTACAAGGGATGACCAGAGTCTGCGGACACAGTACAGGGGATGACCAGAGTCTGCGGACACAGTACAGGAGATGACCAGAGACTGCGGACACAGTACAGGAGATGACCAGAGACTGCGAACATAGTACAGGAGATGACCAGAGACTGCGGACATAGTACAAGGGATGACCAGAGTCTGCGGACACAGTACAGGGGATGACCAGAGTCTGCGGACACAGTACAGGAGATGACCAGAGACTGCGGACATAGTACAGGAGATGACCAGAGACTGCGGACACAGTACAGGAGATGACCAGAGACTGCGGACATAGTACAGGAGATGACCAGAGACTGCGGACACAGTACAGGGGATGACCAGAGACTGCGGACATAGTACAGGAGATGACCAGAGACTGCGGACATAGTACAGGAGATGACCAGAGACTGCGGACACAGTACAGGAGATGACCAGAGACTGCAGACATAGTAAATAATGGTAAATGGTAGCCCCAGTAGTAATTCCCTGCGCACCACCTGGGATCACTCGGCCCACGTTCCGGACCCCACAGATGAGCTGCCCAATATATAACTTACGGCCCTCCACTAGCGATTCTGCGAACGCCACTGAGGACTCCAGGGATCTGTCGAGCGGGAATTGACGTCATCAGCCGGCACACAGAGAAGGAAAGCAGAAATCTCACGAGATCTCGGACGTCGCGAGATTTGGGCTCTCCTTCCTGCACCAGCTGATGATGTCAAGAGATCGCTGGAGTCCTCAGTAGCTTTCAGGGAATCACTACCGGGGGCCGTAAGTTATGTATTTGGGTAGCTCACCTGTGGGGCCGTTTCAGTCCGGAACGCAGGCCGCAATTGGCCCGCGGGCCGGACTTTGGACATGCCTGGTTTAGGCAAACACCATAGTAGCTCACAAGTACACGCATTTATTTTTTGAACACATATCTGTTGTTGCTTACTGTGGACCTGACCTTCAACAAATTTAGCCATCCCTGATGATGGTCATATCTGATACAGTTGATAAGGTTGACATCTGTGCTACATGGTGAAAATGTAGCAGTTGTCCAATTGTCTTCTTCTTGCTGAGCTACCTGAAATGCTGAACAGTATCCTTTCTGTTGCTTTGAACAATCCTGCCTTGTTTCTGATGAACATTGAACTCTTTTCTCCTTTGCATTCCTGAAGCTGTCCTCATCTTACTACCATTCATTAACAACCTTGGCTTTCTCCTCGGCCACACTTCTGCCTGATCCCAGCCTACAACCACTTGTCACCAACCTTTGGCTTTCTTACTGACTACAAAAAACAAAAACACATAAAGTCAGCACTCCCTACAAGTGTAATAAAAAAGGTATAATAAATAAGCTGCTTGCACTACATGTAAATGTACACCGGCCTTTTTGTGAACTATAAATAGTTCCTGGAGCTCAAATTAGCGCCGCTTCCGGTCCAGCGCTCTGAATTAACACTAATTCCTGTCTGGAGCCATTTTGATGAAACTCATCGCTAATTTGAGCTCCTTTAGTAGGCTACATATATAGGACTGCCACAAAGGGACGCTAGAGACTTCTGAGGATGCACATTTGTTAGATGTATTGCAGGGGCAGACTGACAACTCATGGGGCCCCTGGGCAATAGGGGATCATGGGGCCCCTGGGTCCTTGCCCAAACTCAAAAAAGCCTATGAAAAAGGTACCAGAGGCATCTCATGGGGCCCCCTGCTGACCCTGGGCCCACGGGCAGTGCCCGAGTTTCCAAATGGTCAGTCCACCCCTGATGTATTATGTATTATGTAAGATGGGATATTACGCCACCACATTGGTATCCGGAGTAGCGGTGAGAGATGTAAGTCCGAGTGGCTGTTTTTATGTTTACATATTACTGATTTTATGTAATTTCCCTGTACTGCTACTTGTTGGTCTGTAATAAATACTACACTATATGGCGTTTTATTTCTGGTTGCCTTGTGATGGTGTTTGACAGCAAGTGTGGAACTGTGCCGCCTATGGAGATGTGAGAAAAGGAATTTAAAGTTGGTGGTAGAAAAGATTGATGTTATTTTGTCTTGATACCAGGGGCGGACTGACAACTCATGGGACCCCCAGGCAATAGGGGATCATGGGGCCCCTGTGTCCTTGCCCAAACTCAAAAAAAGCCTATGAAAAAGGTACCAGGGGCATCTCATGGGGCCCCCTACTGACCCCAGGCCCTCAGGAAGTGCCCGAGTTTCCAAATGGTCAGTCCGCCCCTGCTTGATATGCTATCTGCTGCATATCCTATGAGCAACACATATTGGCAATGAGCGTACACTTTATGTGGGTGGTGCAGCTTTAAACACAGATTTTATCACAGAGAACCACCTATGCGTGGGTGTTGAAATAATTTTATATCATATATGAGTACTACACTATTTAGTTTTATATTTGTTTTTGGTGTCACATTGATAAAAGCCTTAAAGTGGTTGTAAAACCGGAAGGTTTTTTACCTTCATGCATTCTATGCATGAAGGTAAAAAACATTCTGTGTGCAGCAGTGCCCCCAGCCTCCTCTATACTTACCTGAGCCTCATAGTGATCCAGCGATGTGCATGACAGCCTCGGCTGCCCCGGGTCTCTGACTCCTCATTGGCTGAGGCAGCAAGCGGGAGCCATTGGCTCCCGCTGCTGTCAATCACAGCCAGTCAGTCAATGAGGCGGGGGGGGCAAGCCGCTGTTTGTTATTTAAAAAAACAAAATGGACCTTTAGAATCGCTTTAAGTCTCAAAGGAGGAGTGAATGGAGTAGTCCCCCCAGGAGCCACATGAATGGATGGATGGTCTTGTGATTATTTATTTATTACAGGTACTTATATAGTGCTGTCAATTTGCACAGTGCTTTACATATACAGTGAAGGAAATAAGTATTTGATCCCCTGCTGATTTTGAATGTTGAATGTTCTTCTCACAAAGAAATGATCAGTCTAAAAATCGAAAGGTAGGTGTATTGTAACACTGACAGACAGAATAGCAACAAAAAAATCAAAAGAAATGCATGCCTAACAAATTATGCACTGATTTGTATGTTCATGAGGGAAATAAGTATTTGATCCCCTATCATTCAGAAGGATTTCTGGCTACCAGGTGTCTTTCATACAGGTAACAAGCTGAGATTAGAAGCAGTCTCTTAAAGGAAGTGCTGCTAATCTCATTTTGTTACCTGTATAAAAGACACCTGTCCACAGGAGCAATCAAACAATCAGATTCCAAACTCTTCACCATGGCAAAGACCAAACAGCTGTCCAAGGATGTCAGGGACAAGATTGTAGACCTACACAAGGCTGGACTGGGCTACCAAACTATCGCCAAGCAGCTTGGTGAGAAGGTGACAACAGTTGGTGCAATCATTCACAAGTGGAAGGAACACAAAACAACTGTCAGTCTCCCTAGGTCTGGTGCATCATGCAAGATCTCACCTCGTGGAGTGTCAATGATCATGAGCACAGTGAGCAATCATCCCAGAACTACACGTGAGGACCTTGTCAATGATCTCCAGGCAGCTGGGACCACAGTCACCAAGAAAACAAATGGTAACACACTACGCTGACAAGGATTTAAATCCTGCAGTGCCCGCAAGGTCCCTCTGCTCAAGAAAGCACATGTCCAGGCCCATCTGAAGTTTGCCACTGGCATCAACTCAACTCGCCATGTTTGGAGGAGGAGGAATGTTGCCTATGACCCCAAGAACACCATCCCAACTGTCAAACATGGTGGTGGGACAGGACAACTGCACCGCATCAAAGGGACGATGGACGGGGCAATGTATCATCAAATCTTGAGCGAGAACCTTCTTCCCTCTGCCAGGGCATTGAAAATGGGTTGTGGATGGGTGTTCCAGCATGACAATGACCCAAAACACACGGCCAAGGCAACAAAGGAGTGGCTCAAGAAGAAGCACATTAAGGTCCTGGAGTGGCCTAGCCAGTCTCCAGACCTTAATCTGATTGAAAATCTGTGGAGGGAGCTGAAAGTTCAAGTTGCCAAATGTCAGCCACCAAACCTTAATGACTTGGAGAGGATCTGCTGAGAGGAGTGGGCCAAAATCCCTCCTCAGATGTGTGCAAACCTGGTGGTCAACTACAGGAAACGTCTGACCTCTGTGATTGCCAACAAGGGATTTGCCACCATGTACTAAGTCATGTTTTGTGAACATGCAAATCAGTGCATAATTTGTTAGACATGCATTTCTTTTGAATTTTTTTTGTTGCTATTCTGTCTCTCAGTGTTACAATACATCTACCATTCAATTTTTAGACTGACCATTTCTTTGTGAGTGGGCAAACATTCAAAATCAGCAGGGGATCAAATACTTATTTCCTTCATGTATGTATGTCCCCCAGCCCCCCCTCCTGTTTTCTCACTCTGCAGTAGTTGCACCTGCTGGGGTTTTTTTCATTTGTGTGCAGTTGGCACGTCTGGGTGAAAAATGCAAGCGTACCCCAGTCTACTAGGGGATCCTATGTCCTCCTTTTTTTTTCACTCGTTAGGTGGCCTCTCTGGGGGAAGAAAGGAGAGGGGCCAGCAGAGGTTAGGAAGAAGTGCGCAACCTGCAAGAAAAAAATTGTCAAGCTTATGGAAAAAGCAACTTTGCAGGAATTCATCAACAAGCTGGTTAAAAAAGAATTGGGGTCCCTCCTTAAAGATTTCCTGCAATCCATGACTAAGGAAATGTCTAAAACCTTCCAAAACTTTAGGGAGCTAATGCATGAGCACATGCCGGATGAAACACAGCCAGGCACATCGGGAGCCTACGCACAAGCCAAAAAGAAAAGACCAGACCCCATACCTGCGGACCCAGATGAAGAATCTTACAGCTCCATGGACTCGGAAGAGGGATCACAGGACTCAAAGATTCCTCTTTCCGGCAGAAGACACGGAAAGCCTAAAAGTGTATATGTTCATTCACATCAGTCCCTAACCCTCAAGGGGCATACAATCTAATGTCCCTAACTTACATTCATACACATATTAGGGCCACATTAGACAGGATCCATTTAACCTACCAGCATGTCTTTGGAGTGTGGGAGGAAACTGGAGTACCTGGAGGAAATCCATGCAGGCACAGGGAGAACATGCAAACTCCAGGCAGGTGGTGCTGTGGTTGGGATTTGAACCAACAACCCTAGTACTGCCAGGTGGAAGTGCTAGCCATTTAGCCACTGTGCTGCCCGTTGGTCTTGTGATGATTAACTAATGCACTTATGTGGCACTTTATGTTAGGGTAGCATATATTTGTGATGAGTTGGCAATTCCTCTGATTCCCATTGGTGGAGATTCTGATTTTTATTGGAGGATATCAGGAACATCAATTCATATATTACACAGAGGAACTATGAATAACGTTTGATATGCCCATTCAATGGGACTGTCATTCATGGATTATTAATGTGGCTT